ATCTTTATTATTCAACACTATATTTGCACCAATTTCATTTTGACACCTTCAAAAATAAAGTATCACTGTGAAAAAATAGAAATGTCTTTTTCAAAAAGTCTTCGTAGCTCTAAAATAGGGCATCTTAGTTCAATAATAAATTAAATAAGCCTTTAATCTTGCCCTTCAAATATTATAATCTCTTTAAATATCCTATAGCATTCGTGTGTTGCATAAATTATTTAAATATGAATTTTTAGAAATATAAATAGGTTAAATCATTCACCAAATGTTCCAGGCTTGGCCATACAGAGAGTATAGTACTACCCTTTTATTGAATAACACATGTCAAAGCTCTTGTAAATGCATTTTTAGCTAAATAATACGGTCTCAAGGTATAAAAGGCTTCTTATACATGAGAGGTCAACTTGTATTATATTGTGAGTTGTATTTTGTTTTTTTTTTTTTCATATTAATTCATATAGGAACACATGTATTTTGAGTTATTTAGGATTAATTTTACTATTATTTTTTTTAGTTTTATCATTTGTAACTTGTAATGTGCATTTTGATCTTTGGTAATTTAGGATGTTTATGTTGAAAAGTTTGGCATGAGAGACTTAATGAGGTTTTGTTTTTGTGATTTTTTTATGTTTTATTTTGTTTGGCTTAGTCTTTTTTTTTCGTAATTATTAGTGAAAAAATATTTAACGGATATGGTCATTACACAATTATTAATAAAGATAGCTAAAAATAACTGATCATGGTAGATAGCCATTTAAAAGAGACTATTAATGAAGAGATAAAAAGATTAGTAAGAAATGTGACAAGGTAGAAACCTAATGGCGTGTTTGGATGATAAATTTTACAAATTCAAAGAATTTTAAATTCTTAGTATTTGAATTACTTTGATTTCAATTTCTATCATTTTTAAAATATTTTGTTTGGATAAGTCAATTTAAATTTATCAAATTTTAAATTGTTAGTTTGAGTATGACAATTTGATTCTACCATGGTAAAATTGATTTTAAAAATATATTTATATGTTGAGATTCTTAAATTAAATTTTGTAAAAATAAATATTAGCTAAATTTTAAATATTTAATAATTTTAAAAATTAATATTAGATAATATTTCATAATTTTAAAAATATTTTTAAATATTCAATAATTAAAAACATGAAGAGATAAGAGATAAGATAAAATATATAAGTGAAATAAGGAAAAAAAATACGAGGAATTGCAAATTCTTACTTTTTGGGGAGAATTTGAAATTCTACTATTTCAAAGAATTTCACAAATGCTTGAATTTCAAATTCTTTATAAATTCTCCATTCAAACAACGTATTTCACCTCAAAAAATTTGAAATTCTTCAAATAAATGAATTACTCCATCTAAATTTCTCATTCAAACACACTAAAGAAAGCAAAAGAAAAAGGAAATAGAAACGTAACCGTTAGTTTTCACCGAGAATGAAAGGGAGTAAGATATTAGATACAGCTAAACAAGTCTAATTGTTATAGGCATTTTAAATATAAAAAAGAATGTTGTAACTCAAATCCACGATCAAGATTAATCTAATTTATCTACTTTACCTTATTTTACATCTTTCATTTATGTTTAAGCTAATTTTTATTTAGTCATTTTACAAATTTCTTTATAACATTATCTACAAATTTTCCTTTATCACATTTCTTTAAAACCAAAAAGATTAGAAACCATTGTAATCTTATATGTTTTAGGTATTTTAATTAATTATATATTATATAAAGTTTTTCTTAAAATTTGAACTTCATAAGTTAATGTTTTAAGAAAAGTAGAGAGAAGTTAAAGAGAAATTTTATAGAATTGAAGGATAACTTCTTCCTCCTTCGATTATGTAAGACCTCAAGTCCTTCCCCCATAGCTTAGTAGTGATGATTTGAAGCTTCCAAAGTTGAGGACCATGTAGAGTTTTTGAGTTCGTCTTCCATCTTCTCCTCTTCTCAATTTGGATCATCTAGAGGTAAGTGAAGTTTGTAATTGATGAAATTGTTGTATTGTACTGTTTTTGTGTTGATTAGTTGCATAGAATGTTGGTTGTGTGATTGAATTCGAATGGAATGTTAGGTTGATTGAATTTTGGTGTTAGAAGGTGTCTTGGTGAAGAATTTGATGATCCATAAAATGTGATGGTTGCATGTTATACATAGAGTTTTTTTTAGCTATTTATGGTGCCTATATGTTGTATTATGCATTGCATGTTGGTCTTTTCTGAGTTTCAAATGGATTTGAGCCAAAATGAGATTATGCCAAAGTGTGAAAATCCCTATCGTTTCAAGCGTGGCTCAAATCAAAGATCCTATATCTTACTTATGTTGAGCATGAGGGGAGAGAAAAGTCTCTGACTTAGTCACATCAAACATGATTTGAATAACGTCAAGCATGAGATAAGAGAATTGTCTATGACTTGGTGACGTTGGACCTTGAGTTGTGTAACACCTAACGTGGCTAAGATAGAAACTCTTTTCCTGAGTGACGTCAGACACCAATGGAGTGATATCGAATGTCAAGAGAGAGAATTGTCTCTATCTAAAATGGGGTTAGGCATGGGTTTAGTCATGTTAGGTGTGATTGTCCCAAGAGTTCTTTGACCTCATCCACATTGGGTGCAAGTTGAATGGCCTTGGGAGTGGGTGAGACAGGGAGTTCCATATCTCAATAACGTCGGACGCAAGTGAATGGTGTTGGACATGGGTTACCTAATGAAAACTTGTTTGGTTAAGAAATTGGTGGATATGTATAGGATAGTTGAATTTATTACATGTTGTATGTTGTTAATGCATTAATCTAAGATAATGTATGATGATGTATGAAGTTGTTTAAGCTATAAGTTGATAGTTGATATAGTTGTAAAGTTGCATGACGTTATAGTTGATCAAGTTGTTAAGTTGTAGGCATGTGACAAAGATACATGTCTTAAGTTGAGATACATAAAAATTAGGGAGAATAAAGTTATTTTTGAAAATTAGAATATCTTATTATATAGATATATTTTAAGTTGTCTTCTCTAGGTTTTATGTGAAACTCGTATAAGGGTCAGGTCGAGCCATATATGTATAAAGTGACTAAAATTGAGTAAGGTATAAAGTCAAGAGTTAAAATCCGTAACCAATTACTAGAAGGATGCATAGTACTTAGAGGATAGTTGATAATTTATTCTTATAGGAGACTTAGTTTATGCGTGTTAAGGCTATGGTAAGTTCTCACTTAATTTATTTTATCCTAATAATAGTATTAAACTTTCATAGTTTAAGTAACAAACCTAAGAAAGAAATTTAAGTTGTATACATGACACATTGATGAGGCCTAACATTATCTATAATTGACCTAGTTGTGACAAGTCAAACACTGTAATTTAATATAATATAGTCACTTAAATTACTTACATTTATTGTAAAAGGTCTATATAGTTAATATGTGTGACCTCACATTAGTTGTTTAAATATGTTTAAGATGATAATATTGTAAATGTTGGAAGTTGATGTGTTGTTTATATATGATGATGTTGTTATCCAATTGAAAGATGTTAAGTTGTGTTGTATGAAAGTTGTTCATATTGTCTATAATGTATTGATGTAATCTGATGTTGTGTATATGTTTATTTTTTCACAAGTTTATCCTATATTTTTTTTTATATTTGGAAATGTTAATATAATCATACTTGATATGAGAATAAAATAAAATTAACTTGAATGACTTGATGTTGTTAGTGGAAAATCATGTTGAGGATGACCTGATTTTTGTAGCATTACTCCTTTATAATTTTGTTTTATTAGAGACATTAATCGATGATATGATTGTTTTGTTTACATGTTAGCATACGTAATATATATTATATGTGTACAAGGATTTTATATTTTCAATTACTTTGAAAAAAAAATATTTTAAACTTTCTACACATATACATATATAATTGTTATATATATATATATATATAGATTACTGTTACATAAAAACTCTATAATAATATAATTTTATAATTTCTATTGCATAATTCTATACTATATTAAATATAATAATCTAATGGATCATTACAAGCTTAATTTACAATTGTTGGATAGGTCCTTTTATTTATCTTCATTTCCAATAAACATGCTTCATAAATACGTATACTTGCAAGTTGCAACAATTCTTTATCAGACAATAGAGCTAAAATGACTAACATGTGGCAATGATGTGGACAAAATTAATGATTAAACTAATTATTGTCTTTATAAATGATACTACTACTTTACATATTACTACTTTACATATTAGTTATTGTATGAAAAAAAAATACAACTTTTAGTCCGTATAATACCTTAATAAATTAAAAACAAACCCTAAAATTGCATTCTTCTTTAAAGATATACGATTTTTGTAATTTTTGGCATATGTATAATACTGCCGAATTTTTAAAATAAGTACCGACATTTTAAAAATAAGAACATGTTTGATAAATGTTCTCCGATTTATTTAAATGTAATCCTGAAATTTCATAAACCACATTTTACACTCCATGAAAAAAAAACAATAAAATCAATTATTTCTCATTGTAAATAAAAATCTCATAGAAAATCAACATATATTCACTCCTAGACAGTTTTATATACAGTATAGACTATGTGTAAAGTTCAAAAAATAAAAATAAAAATAAAAATGGCCAAACAATAAGTTTTATAGAGTACACCTAGGTGCTGTCCTTAATTACTTATTATTTTCACATTTAATTGGAATTCAATTTATCAATTATCATCGTAGCATATTAATAAATAATATAATATAACATTATAATGATTTTATATTAAATGTCTATATAAAAAATTTACATTAGCAATGCATATAAACTAAACATTTTTATCTCTTTTTTATCACGTTATTTATCTTACTATTCATTTTTTCCCTTATCACACATCATCCAAAGTATTGAAAAATTTAAAAAAAAAATGGCCAAAAAATATGATCACTCTAGTTTCGTGGAATAAAAAACCACAAGATAACAACAATCTCCACTTGTAGACATTTTCCCCCAAAATGTATATGATATTATATTATTATTCAAAATAATGTAAACTTACTACAAAGAAACAAAATGAAACTCGCAAATAAATGAAATGCAAAACAATTTCAATAAATTTCATCTCCCTCGGAATCTGTGAGCTGTAAAAACAATTTATCCAGTGCTGCGCAGTGCGCACCCACCGTAAGCTACCCTATTCCTCACTGAAACTGCAGCAGCACCAACAACGCCGCAGCGAAGCCGTAAACCGCGACGCGCACGTCAGCGCGACTCGCGAACGCGCTGCCGCTGGGAGACTGCGCCACCGCGACCGGCGGAGACTGACCGGCGTCGGGACCCGGCGGCTCCTGGTACGGCGGCGGCGGCGGCTGGTTGAGACTCGGCGGCAAGCCGAGGCCGCGCTGGACGTCGATCTCGAAGGCCAGGCCGTGCTGGCACTGGACGCCGTCGGCGGCGTCGGAGAAGAAGTAGTTCGGTCCAACTATGGTCAACGGCACCGCGATGGTCAACGCTTCGCCGAAACGACGGCTTCCGCCCCCGCACACGAAGG